CCTCCCTCTGGAGGGGGCTGGCGGCAGCTGCCGAAGGTCTTCAGAAGGGGGCTAGCGGCAGTGGCCGATTGCCGTCCTATAACTCGTTAAAGTCGAGCTCGTAATCAGTGTCCCAACCCTGCACGAGCTCCATGCAAATCTCCGAGATGACCGCCTTGAGCGCCGTGTAGCCTTGGTCCTTGAGCAGGCTCTTCAGCTCAGAGATGGAGACGCTTCCATTGCCATCCTCGTCGGCCATCTCAAACAAGCTGGTGGTGGAAATCTTCTCAGATCTGGCGGCTTCCACGATCATCGTCGCCCTGCTGACCTTCGGTTGCGCCACAGTGCTCCGCCTCTTGCAGAAGAGCAAGGACTCGATGAGTCGGATCAGCGATTGACTTTAAGTGGACCAGTTCAAATCGGCAGCTAAGTCAGGAGAAGTCGAGCCAGCAGGAATCGGCAGGCTAGCAAGGCCTCCATTGAGAAACGGGGGATCCAAATCGGAATCCGAAATCACATCGAATCGGGATCGGAAGCCACCGACATCGAATCGAAAGGAGTCGGAGGAGTCGAAATGAGCCCCGCCTCTTGGCAACCTCACCTGTGCGAGGCGGAAATGTATCCGGATCCACCGCCTGGGAACCGACGTCCTGGTGCCCCAGCGGGCGGCGGATTTGGACCTAACTTGGCCCCCGAGGGCCCGACCATATCCGTGCCCGCCGCCTGTGGAGGTCCTCGAAGATCGATCCCCCAGGCGGTGACTGTGGATAAATCCCCGCCTTGGAACCTGCGTCCGTCAGACGCTCCACCATGTCGGGATTGTCCTGCTCCATTTTTCATTATCGCAGACGACGACGACCCAATGATTCAAGAGCGAAGCGGATCACCGCGGCAGGGCTGCGCCACCACGCGCTATTGAAGAGTGTCAGGGCGACTGGCGCGGGAAATTGCACAGAGAGGAGGAGGCAGGAGGAGGACGAGCAGGAGTCGGGGCTGTCCTGCTTCAGCCTCTCGCGCTGGCACTCGCGGATCATCCGGGCCACGACCAGGAACTCCTCAAACGTGAGGCCCTCCGCCGCGCTTCCCGCGCCCTGGTAGCCCTGGGCGCGCAGGAACCGCTCCACGACGGCCCTGGCGAACTGCGCCTGCCATGGCGGGCAGCAGGGTCGGAGGACTGAAGGGGCCCAAGGACACACACACACACACATGTATCGACATATATATATATATATATATATATATATACATATATATATGTACACAAATACCCATATACCCCATACTTTCTGATATTTTCTGGGTTTTCGTCTTACCCCCCACTTCTCCCAGATGTTTTCCATCTTCTCCTGGGGATCGACGACTCTAATTGTGCCTGTGTGTGTTTTTCTCCCCTCCCGAGCCTGTCGGGACGGAAGGCAGGGTCGGACGACTTCGGGGAGGCGCGCAGTGCAGGCTAGAGTCCACAGGAAGCCTCCGACAAGAAGCCTCCCACAAGAAGCCCAGCCCTAAGATTAGGTCGGGCGCGTCCTCCTACAATGGAAGTTTGGACGAAATAAAAACAAAACATACCCCCAAAAAAATCCAAAAATGCTCAGAAATGCTATTAAATGTCCCTCCATATTATCTTTTGACTATGTTGAATCTCCCTCCTGTACAGCGACAGGCCCGACTTTACCCTAAGACCCCAGGACGTCCGTGTTTTTTTGTGCGGGAGCGTCACGCTTGCCATGGCACAGCCATCGAAAGCCCAAGAAGCCCAGGGCAACCTGGAAGCAAGCAGGGTGTTTCTTGGCATGGACCTCCACTGTAAGACTCGGGATCGGGGGACTCGGGTTGGCCTGACGGGACCATCATGAGAATGACGAGACCCGGTCTGAAATTTGACGCGAGCTCCCGCCGCAGACATCCGACGAAAACTGGACCGTCCAAATCCATGGCGCCCTCGCTACACAGCGGCGGCAAGCCCGAGTTCCGGCGCACAGTCGGACCCAGGACATAATAACCTCCTTCAAGAACACGAGACCGTCCGCAGGCCAGCTTGCAGAACAGCCGAGTGGACCTCCCCCAGGACGCACGAGAACGTCCAACCACCGCGAAGGCCGAGCCGACCTCGACCTTATACCTCGGCCCGACGGCACTCGAGGCCTGCGTGCTCCTGACAAGTGGCAGACGTGGCGGCGCGCGCGAGGGGCAGCGCGAGGGGAGCGGCCCTCTCTGAGAGAGCACGGGGGGCTTCCAGGTGGGCGGGGGCCGTCTTCGAAGCCCTCCGGGCTCCTACGATGAAGGGGCCCTGGGACACACGGATAAATACACACAAATAGAAAGATTCCCAATATTTTCCTATATTTTCTGGATTTTTGTCTTCCCCCCCATGTCCCATATCTTCCCGTTTTTTCTAGGGAATAGACGATTACTTGTGTCTGTGTGGGTATTTCCCTCCTGATACGAGGCCTTTCGAGAAACCCTCGGGCCCTTCTGAGGCGGCCCCTGCCTTCTGAGAAGCGCGCCACCTGCCTGGAAGGCTACCCCCCCCCCTTGCTCTACGACAAGCCCTCATGAGACACACGAATCTCGTTACGAATGAACCCCTTCGCAAGCCCAAAATGGACCCGTCGCGCCACCCCGTGAGCGCCGCCGACAGAAGTGAAGGGGAACTGGGACACACAAATAAATACACACAAATAAAAATATCCCCCATATTTTCCCATATTTTCTGGGTTTTTGTCTTCCCCCCCACTTCCCATATTTTCCCATATTTTCTGGGGATCCTCGATTAATTGTGTCTGAATGCTTTTTTCCCTCCTGAAGAAGGGTGTGCGCGGCTCCGCTCACGCCGCCGGCCTCCGAGGAGAATGCCCCGGCGGTGGGCGAAACGCCGCTGCGTGCCGCAACTCCCCTGACCTTCCAGAGAGCTATTTTTTAGCACTGGAAACCTAATAAAAACCTAAAAAACGAGACGAAACAGCCTAAAACCAAGACGTAAAATAGCTCTGGGATAGGTTTTTACGTCGGGTGCTATTTTTTGGCCCTCCTGGAAGGTCAGGGTCTCACACCCCCAGCCCCGCCTTTCCGCCCAACCCGGCCGGCACCAGGCCGCGCGCGGCATCGTCCGAGCGCGGCGCGCCCGAAACGGGCAATTAAATTACCACATCGGTGAGATGCCCCGCGGCAGACCCAGACCCCCTCGAGTACTGAAAAAATCATGACGGGAGGTTTTTCCTAATTTTCGGCCTCCGGGGGCCCTTACCGGGCCTCGGGAGCCTCAAAAAACGACTCAGGATGCAAAGCCGGTCATGGTCAAAGGGTCGGGACCTCTGGAGGTCGACGTAATGAAAAAATCATTACGTCGGGGGTCTGGGGACGTCTTGCGGCTGACGTTGTCCAGAGCCGGCAGCGGCCGCCGTTGGGCAGGCGACCTCTTGGCTAAACTGTGCAACGCCCGCGGCGACGCCGGCATCGAGCCCTGTCGCCGGCTGTTCCGCACCCATGTCGATCGTACCCGAGAGAGAACGCTTTCCTTTGGCGGCGAGGCGGCGAACTCCGCTTGAGCGAGAAGCTAGAAAGGGTCACAGACTAGCACATTGGCCGGCGGGCAAAGAGAGAGGGGGGGGGCGGTTGAGAGGAAGAAGGGACGCCAAACGTCGAAGAGTTCGACGATCAGCAGCCGGGGGGGGGGGGGCAGCAGCCATGCGCGCAGGGCCAGAGCGCGGTGAGCGGCCGTGGCGAACCACGGCGGCAAGGGTGGCGGGAGGGGCGTCCCCGGGAACAGGGGAACCGAACCGACTTGCTTCCCAATCGGACTCGAGTGGACCCTGAGAGAGCCACATTACACCCTACGAAATGATTAAGAAATCATGGGTTAAGAAATTCATAGTCTCAGAACTTGAATAAAAACCGAAAAATCCCATTCAAATCTTAGGATTCACATTGAAACATTAAGAATAATCGAGACTCTGGCCGAAAATTTAAATTTTCTTAAGCATCGCCTAAGGTGTATATTGCAGTGGGGGCCCGACCACCAGGAACCTTCCAATAGAGAGACCCAACCCTGAGACCCCAGGGCGCCCATTGGCTTTTGGTGTGGGGGCGTCGCGCCTTCCACGGCAGAACCGTCGAAACCCGAGAAACCCAGGAGGAGGAGGAGGAGGAGGAGGAGGAGGAGGAGGAGGAGGAGGAGGAGGAGGAGGGAGGGGGAGGAGGCGGGAGGAGGGAGGGGAGGAGGAGGAGGAGGAGAAGGAGGAGGGGGCGTTTCTTGGCATGGGCCTCCACTGTGTGGTGATGCCGCAGGCTCCACGGCCCTCTCCGGGGGGGGGGGCGCTCCGCCCCGGGCTCTCTCGAGGCAGATCCAGCCAATACGACGCGGGCCCAGGGACCGAGAACGAGGCAAGGGCAAACTGAAGGGGCCCAAGGACACACAAATAAATACACACAAATAAACATGTTCCCTATATTTCCTCATATTTTCTGGGTTTCTGTCTTCCCCCCCACTTCCCATATTTTCCCATATTTTCTGGGGAATCGACGATTAATTGTGTCTGTGTGTTTCTTTTCCTCCTGACAAACAGCGGAGGGGAAGGCGGAGGAGGGGAAGGGAGGGGGCCCCCCTTTTGGCAGGTGGATCTCCCGAGCTCTCCGCCGCCCCTGGCGGTGTGCGCTGCGAGCAGGAGCACGACGACGAAGCAAGGGCCGCGTCGTAACAAAAGCTCGGGACGGGAGGTTCCTGGCCCATCTCGGCCTCGGGGGGGCCCTCGCTGGGCCCAGGGACGGCCAAACCTCGGGATGGAAAACCGGTCCCGGGGAGAGGGTCGGGACTTCCGGGGCCCCGTATGGAACAAATCAGGACGTCGCACGTTTGGGGCGGGCTTTGCCCCCTCTTGGCCTTGACGTGAGGCCCCTCCTTCTGCCCCCCCCTCTTTGTTAATTCAAGCTGTGCGCGGCCCGCTTAGCTTCGACCGGAAGAGGTGCGCTCTCGACCCGCGAATCAAAAAAGTTTGGGGCGGGCTGACAGGACCGATGCCCAC